CCACCCCCAAACACCCAATGCTACTTAATTTATTCAAAAAGATAGAAATGGAGGGAGAACTTCCAAATTCTTTCTATGAAGCCAGAATCACTCTAATACCAAAGCCAGGTAAAGATACAACCCAAAACAGAAAACTATAGACCCATATCCTTAATGAGCATAAATGCAAAAATTCTCAACAAGATACTTGCAAAACACATACAGACACACATCAAAAAGATCATCCACTGGGCTGGGTGTGGTGGCGCATGCCTTTAATCCCAGCACTTGGAAGGCAGAGGCAGAGTTAGCTTTACCATTAGGGTGAGTGTTACGGTTTGATTTAGGGTTAGAGTTAGGGATAGGTTTAAGGTTACTTTTAGGATTAGGGTTAGGGTAAGGTTCTGGATTAGGGTTAGGTTTAGGGTTTGGATTAGGCGAGGGTGAGAGTTAAGGGTAGGGTTACGGTGAGGGTGTAGGTAGAGTTAGGGTGAGGGTTAGTGTAGGGTTAGGATTTGGATTAGGTTATATTGAGAGTTAGCTTTACCATTAGGGTGAGTGTTACGGTTTGATTTAGGGTTAGAGTTAGGGATAGGTTTAAGGTTACTTTTAGGATTAGGGTTAGGGTTAGGTTCTGGATTAGGGTTAGGTTTAGGGTTTGGATTAGGCGAGGGTGAGAGTTAGGGGTAGGGTTACGGTGAGGGTGTAGGTAGAGTTAGGGTGAGGGTTAGTGTAGGGTTAGGGATTGGAGAGTTAGGGTTAGCTTTAGTGTGAGGGTTAGGGTTAGTTTTAGTGTTAGTGTTAGAGTGAGGGATATGGTTAGGGTTAGGGTTAGGGTTAGGGTTTGCATTTGCGTTAGGGTTAGGGTTAGGGTTAGTGTTAGGGTGAGAGTTAAGGATAGGGTTAGATTCAATGCAATGCCAATCAAAATCCCCATTACATTTTTCACAGAATTGGAAAAAAAACCATCCTAAGATTCATATGGACGCACAAAAGACCTCAGATAGCCAAAACAACCCTGAGCACTAAGAGCAATGCTGGGGGGGATTACTATACCTGATTTTAAGCTGTATTACAGAACTATAATCATAAAAACAACATGGTACTGGCACAAAAATAGACCCATAAGATCAATGGAACAAAATTGAAGACCCAAATATGAATAAATGCAATTTCAGCCACCTGATATTTGACAAAGGGGCCAAGAACATTCACTGGAGGAAAGACAGCATGTTCAGGAAATGGTGCTGGCAAAACTGGATCTCCACCTGTAGAAGAATGAAACTAAACCCTTATCTTTCACCTTGCACAAAAGTCAATTCCAAATGGATCAAAGACCTCCATGTAAAGCCTGAAAATCTGAAACTATTAGAAGAAAATATTGGGAAAAACCTACAAGATATAGGTGTAGGAACAGATTTTCTAAACCGCACATCAATTGCTCAGGAAACAAGGTCAAGAATCAACAAATGGGACCTCGTTAAACTAAAGTGCTTCTGTACATCAAAGGAGGCAACGAGGGAAGTGAAGAGAAAACCCACAGAATGGGAGAAAATCTTCACCACCGACACATCTGACAGTGTAATATCCATAATATATAACGAACTCAAAAAACAGAGAATCAAGACAAGAAGCAACCCAATTAAAAGATGGGCTAAGGAGCTTTCTTTAAAAGAAGAAATAAAGATGGCTATGAAGCATCTTAAAAGATGTTCAACATCACTAATAATTAGGGAAATGCAAATTAAAACCACTTTAAGATTTCATCTTACCCCAGTCAGACTGGCTAAGATCAAGAGAACAAATGACACCAAGTGTTGGAGAGGATGTGGGGAAAGGGGAACACTCATCCACTGCTGGTGGGGCTGCAAACTTGTTCAATCCCTATGGAAAGCAGTGTGGAGAACTCTTAAAAAACTACAAATGAACCTACCATTTGACCCAGTTAGACCACTCCTTGGCATATACCCAAAGGACTCATCCTATCGCAGAGACACTTGTACATCCATGTTTGTTGCTGCTCTTTTCACAATAGCTAAGAGATGGAAGCAACCTAAGTGTTCCTCAACTGACAAGTGGATAATGAAAATGTGGTTCATTTATATGATGGAGTTTTACTCTGCAGTGAAGAAAGATGAAATCATGAAATCCACAGGTAAATGGATGAAACCAGAAACTGTTATACTAAGTGAAGTAACACAGACTAAGAAAAAAAATCGACATATGTTCGCCCTCATATGCGGATCCTAGAACCAAACCGTGATAAGTGAGTATGTATCCAGACATAACTACAGGAACCAGGATAACGGAAAGGAAACAGGGAGGTAAAGGAAAAGAGAGAACCTGAAAGAGAAGAACAGTAGGAAACAGGCCTTAATAAGGAAGACATGGATAAAAATTGGGTTAGTTTAGGGGAGGGGGGAGGGAAGGGTTTACAAGGAACCTAGAGGATAAAGGGAAAGAAGGAGCTCAAGAGAGGTAGGACCGTAGGAGAAGGGTATTATTAAGGGAGAAAGGGGAAAATGGGGGCACATTAGAGGGGAAACCATGATGGAGGGGTGAGACAATGTGAGAGATAAATAATGCCTAGCTAGTTTTAAAAACCGGAGGGAACCATATTACTCCAACAACCTACTGACAAATTATACATAGCAGATCAAGAAATATATGTCTAGGTAAGGTTTATCTGAGAACAACTGGTCTTTGGCCAATATTTACATGCCACAGAGTAATTAAAAGTACCAGACTGGTGGAACTAACCTTCTTGGGTGTTTAGCAGACATACTTTGAGGTCTATAATAATTTGGTCAGAGGGACATAAAGGACAGTTTTTGCTCCTTGCCCTCCTAGGTTGACTAGTTCCAGGGGACTATGAGCATCTCTCAAAATGTCCTGTAATTGTGGTGGGTCACCTGTCCTCTTGATCAAGGAGGCCAAGGAGACCCCACGAGATGGACTTGAACCAGTGTCCAGTCTACAGAGAGGAGGGTCAACACTGAGGAAACATTTTCTCCATGCTTCCAAGTGAAGCCAGCCATGGTCAAGAAGGACCTTTGACTTATCTTCACATAGGCAGAACTGGTAAAAGAAAGGAGCCAGGGGCTCCTCCCAAGCCAATGTGACCCCTGAGGAACAGGTCCTCAAACGACCTTAAGAGTAAAAATAAATTGGTTTATGTGGCCAACTGTATGGTCTTAAACATCCAAAAGGAAAGTATAACCAAAGATTAAATGGGCCAACATAATTTCATAA